CTGAAGCTAGGGCCTCCATACTGATCTATATCCCCAGCCACCACACCTTTAGTTTTTTTTGAGACAGGGTCTTGCTATCTTGTCCAGGTTGGCCTTGAACTCCTCCTTCAGCCTCCCAAGTAGTTGGGATTACACATGTGTGCTACCATACTGGGCTTTTATTATTATTATTTTTTAATTAATATAGTTTCACTCTGCACCTGTGCTGGCCTTGAACTCTTGGGCTCAAGAGTTCTTCCTGAGTAATTGAGTCTACAACAGCCCCACACCCAGCTGGGAAAGTTATTGTACCTTTATTTATTTGTTTATTTATTTTTGGTTTTTTGAGACAGGGTCTCACCATGTAGTTGAGACTGACCTGGAACTCACTATGTAGCCTAGGCTTGTCTTGAACTCACAGTGATCCTCCTGCCTCAGCCTCCTGAGTGCTGGGATTACAGGCATGTGCCACCATGCCCGGCTTTAACCTTTATTTCTGAAAGACAGTTTTTACTGAGTATTCTTGATTGGCTTTTTTTTTTTCCCCCTCAAGACTTAGAATATATTGGGCTTGTTGGCACATACCTGTAATACCACCACTCAGGAGGCTGAGGCAGAAGGATTGCTGTGAAGTTCGAGGCCAGCCTGGGCTATATAGTAAGTTCAAGGCCAGCCTAAACTATATACATAGAGAGATTCTATCTTGATAAAAAAAAAACAAAACTTAAAATATATCATCGCACTGTCTTCTATCTTCCTCTCTTTAGTAAGTCTTTATATGTGATATATTTCTTAATTGTCAGAATTTTTTCTTTATCTTTGATTTTTGATAGTTTAATTATGTGTGTTGTATGATCTTTACTTTGGGTTGTGTTTCATTGGAGATCTCTGCATTTCCTGTATCTAAATGTACCCACTCTTTTCCTTAAACAAATTTTTGTCTGCTGTTTCTTTAAGTATGATTTCTGGCCTCCTTCCTCCTTCTTTAATCTCTACTATGCATAATATATTAGGTCTTGAAATAGTGTCCCCTAATTCTAATAGGCTTTTTCATTCCTTTTTCTTTTTGATTCTCTAATTGGGTAATTTCAGATATTCTGCCCTTAATTTTCACCACCTAGCTGTTGTCTCAGCTGATTGGGTTTATACTCCCAGCAGCACTAGGGTCCAGATCTTCCACATCCTCTCCAGTGCTGTTGATATTTCTGTTTTATCTGTTTGTTTGTAATTTTTTTCTTGGTACTAGGGCTTGAACTCAGGGCCTTGTGCTTTAGAGGCAGATGTGGTGCCACTGAGCCAAATCCCCAGCCCTGTTTGTTTTTTGTTTATCGTGGCCAACCTGAGAAGTGGTATCTCACTGTGGTTTTGGTTGCATTTCTCTGATGATAAATGATGGTACTGATTTTCATCTTCATGTGTTTATTGGTCATTTGTACATCTTCTTTGGAAAAATACTCAGTCATTTGTGTGTGTGCATGTGTGTCACTGAGGACTGAACCTATGACCTTTGTGCTGGGCTACGTCCCTAGGCCTTTTTTTAGTTTTTTATTTTGAGGCAGGGTCTCTCTAATTTTACTCTATTGATGGTTGTTGTTGTTTTTTTTTTGATTCCGGGGACCAAACTTGGGTCCATGTGTCTTTTTTTGTGTGTTTTGTTTGGAGATCTAACTCAGGGCCTTGAGCTTGCAAGGTAGGTATGGTGTCATTGAACTAAATCTTTTTTTTTTTTTTTTTTTGGTACTGGCGATTGAACTTGGGTCCTTGCACTTGTGAGGAAGGCAGTGGAACCACTGAGCTAAATCCCCGGCCCTGAACTAAATCTTTTAATGCACAAAAGTTGTTAATTTTGATGAAGTCCAGTTTATCTGTTTTGCCTATGCTTTTGATATCATGTCCAATAAAACATTGCCAAATCCAATGTCATGAAATTTTTCTCCTGTGTTTTCTTCTCAGAGTTCTATAATTTTAGTTCATTGGTCTAAGTGTTTGATGCACCTTGAGTGTATTTTTAAACTGTATTTTGTGGTACTGGGGATTGAACCCAGTCCTTCACCTGCCAAGCAAGTACTCTGCCACTGAGGTAACAGCCCCAGTGAATTTATTTTTATGTGTGGTGTTAGGTAAAAATATGGCTTCATTTCTTAAATGTGTCTATCCAGAGCCAGGGATGTGGCTCAGCAGCACAGCATCTGCCTGGCAAGTGCAAGGTCCTGAGTTTGAGTCCAGATTTTTTAAAAAAGTGTCTATTCAGCTTTCCCAGCCTCATTTATTAAAGTTCTTTTCCTTTATTTATTAAAGTTCCTTTCCTCATTGAGTGGTCCTGGCACCCTTATGAAATCACATGACCATGCATGTGAGGGCTTCTTTCTGAGTTCTCTGTTCTATTCCACTTGTATCTTTTAGTCCATATATGGCTATCTTTATGCCAGTATCACATTGCTTTAATTACTGTACTTTACAGTAAGTTTTGAAATTGGGAGGTGTGGTTAAATCTTTTTCAAGATTGTTTTTGAAAAATTGGTCGATGTGGTTAAATTGAGACATAGGTCATGTTTCCATCACAGTAAATATATTAACAGTGGTGACAGTGAGACCAGTAACATTTTGCTTAAGCTCAGGAATAAAAATGTTGAGTTTCAGTCATTAGAAATGTTTAATGAATAATATTCTACATCTAGATCATTTGCCAAAATACCAAGAACTTTCTACAATTCAGCATCTAAGATCTTTAAGTAAGTTGCTGGAAGAAATTTGGATCTAAGATCCCAAACAGGGATTTTGAAGTTGTTAACAGTGTGTCCATAATTCAAGTGGAAGCCAGGCGTGGTGGCACATGCCTGTAATCCCAGCACTGGGGAGGCTGAGGCAGGAGGATCGCTGTGAGTTCGAGACCAACCTGGGCTACATAGTGAGTTCCAGGTCAGTCTCAACTACATAGTGAGACCCTGTCTCAAAAAAGCAAAAAAAAAACAAAAAACAAAACAAAACAAAACAAAAAACATAATTCAAGTGGAGATAAAAGCACAAATGAAAGAACTGTGACAAGACAGACAGGCTGACTGGACCAAGCATCAGTTCTTTTATTTTTTATTTATTTAATTTATTTATTTTTTAATTTTTTGGTACTGGGGATCGAACTCAGAACCTTGTGCTTGCAAGGAAGGCAGCGGAACCACTGAGCTAAATCCCCGGCCCAAGCATCAGTTCTTTTAAAAAGGGCTACCGGAAGACACAAACCTCATTAAGGTGATCTTGGTGGGCACTGAAGAAATTACATGTAGAATTCCCTCAATAAAAGTGTGTTGACTTTAGAAAAAAAGATTGTTTTGACTATTTGGCTTCCTTGAGATTCCATATGAATTTTGGGGAAGGTTTTTCTCTTTCTGCAAAAAGCACAAATGGGATTTTGTTAGAACTGCCATGACTGTAGATCACTTTAGTTAGTATTTACATTTGAAGTACATTTGTACATATCTATATAACTTTTATTTCTTTTCTAAGCATTTTATTGTTTGTAATGCTATTATAAATGGAATTATTTTCTTAGTTTCTTCTTTGTTGGTATACAGAAACAAAACTTAGAATTGTATGTTGACTTTTTTTTTTTGGTCTTGGGGATGAAACTTGGGACCTTGCACTTGCAAGGCAGGTAGCGGAACCACTGAGCTAAATCCCCAGCCCTGTATGTTGAGTTTAGTGTCCAGCAACATTGCTGAATTTATTAAATTTTTTTTCTGGTACCAGGGATAGAACTCAGGGCCTTGTGATGGCAAGGTAGGCGCGGTGCCACTGAGCTAAATCCTCAGCCCTTGAACTTATTAATTTTATTTTACTTTTTGTGGAATCTTTAGAGATTGTTTACTTTGTTGGTTTTCTTTGTTTGCTATGCTGGGGGTCAAACCCAGAGTGTTGTGTATGCTAAGCAAGAGCTCTACCTAGCTACATCCCTGGCCAGCGTTTTCTGTGTGTAAGAACCTGTCACACTCTAGCTATGGTGGCACACACCTGTGAGCCCAGCACTCTGGGAAGCTGAGCTAAGTGGGTTGTAAAACTACATGGCAGTTTCACAACTTAGTGAGACTGAGTCTCAAAATGAATGAATGAATGGACAAATGAATGGCTAGGGATATTGCTCAGTGTGAAGTCACTGGGTTCAATTTCCAGTAGGAAAAAACAAAACAAATAGAACTCGTGCCATCTGTGAATAGAAATAATTTTATTTTTCCCTTCCTATTTGAATGTTTTATTTTTTTCTAATTTCCAGAACTTCCAATTGTATGTGGAATCACAAGACAAAAGCAGTCATCCTTGTCTTAAATTTCTTTTTCATTTTTGTTTTTGAGATGGGTTCCTGCTGTGTTACTCAGGCTGGCCTCAAGCTCATGATCTTCCTGCCTTAACCTCTGAGCAGCTGGAATTATGGGCATATGCCATCACATCCAGCCCTGTCTCTGTCTGTCCTTCAGTCCATCCGTCCGTCCGTCCGTCCGTCCGTCCATCCATCTATCTATCTACCTACCTACCTACCTACCTACCTACCTACCTGTTGGAGACAGGGCATCCCTATGTAGTTCAGGCTGCCCTCACACTTTTGATCCTCCTGTGTCAGCCGCCTGAGTTCTGGAAATCACAGGTGTGTGTGGCCATGCTTCTTTTTTCCTGTATTTCTTAATCCTTTCATCTTATAGATATGGAAATGTAGGACCTAAGAGGGACATTGACTTGCCCTAAGTTATACAAGTTCCTGTATAACCTATCAAGAACTGGTGGCTACATCTCTTAACTTCTGGCTAAGTATTCTTTTGGGTTCCCAGGATTGAGGGTAGCTGGTGAAGGAAAGGAGGCAACATGATTCACTTGCTCTAAGATCATGTGGAGTGTTTTCACATCAATAAGTGTTGATAGATGATGTTGAGGAGATATTACACTATCATAGGCTGTTTGTTTTGGATTTGTAACATCTGATACATGAAATCAATTCTGTGTAACTCTCAAAAGTCATTTTTTCTTTATTTCTTCAGTGCTGTTACAATTGGAACTGACATGCTAGAATTGGACTGCCACATCACAAAAGATGAGCAAGTTGTAGTGTCACACGATGAGAATCTAAAGAGATCAACTGGGATCAATGTAAATGTCTCTGATCTCAAGTATTGTGTAAGTAAAAATGCATGATAAAATATATGTAGTGGATATGAGTTAGTAAGGCTTTTTAAGGCAGTGAATGGCAGTTATTGCTCAATAACTGACTCTTGAAAATATTAGTAATTAAATAACAAATGCATTTAACTTCTTTTAAATAAGTGTTGAGGGCCAGGGATTGAACTCAGTGGTGGCACTGCATTGCAAGCAGAAGGTCCTGGGTTTGATCCCCAGTACCAAAAAAAAAAAAAAGCTTTGAAAATTCAGTGAGAATTTTGTACTATACAGATACACCTATGGAGACTTACTTTTATGAACATTTGGATAAAACTTCAAGTCCCCAAATGTAAAACTGTTGGAATTTAACTTGTTTAATTTATGTGATTCAGATGAAGATATGAATTAACTTTAGCTTTCACATAAAATAAACACCATTTTAACATCGGATTATACTAGTTTATGCACTCTTTAAATACTAATATATGGAAGGAAAAATAATGCCTACTTTTACCACCTAAAGCAAACTCAGGTTAACAGGATTATACATATTATATATATCCTATTTTAATACAATTTTGTGTTATATTATACATACTATGTTAATACTTTATTTGTTTGTTTGTTTGTTTTTTGAGACATGTATTGCTCTGTAGTTCAGACTGTCCTTAAACTCACTGTATAGCCCAGGCTGGCTTCAAAGTCACAGTGATCCTTCTGCCTCGGCCTCCTAAGTCCTGGGACTACAGGCATGTGCCACCACACCTGGCTTTGTTTTTTTTGTTTTTTTGTTTTGTTTTTGGTACCAGGGATCGAACTCTGGACCTTGGCGCTTGTGAGGCAGGCAGTGGCACCACTGAGCTAAATCCCTGGCTCCTGGTTTTGTTTTTAATACTTTACCATGACAAATATTTTTCTATGCTTTGTATTTTTTATCTGTTCCTTTTGTATCAGTAGGGCTTGAACCCACGGCCTCGTGCGTGCTAAGTTCTACCACTGAGCTGCATCCCCAACCCTATTTAAATTTTATTTTATTTTTTTTTTAATTTATTTTTTGGGGGGTACCAGGGATCAAACTTAGGACCTTGTACTTGCAAGGCAGGTGCAGTGCCACTGAGCTAAAATCTCAGACCTATTTAAATTTTATTTTGAGACTGTCTCACCGAGTCGGCCAGGCTGCCTCAAACATGTGAGCTTCCTGCCTCAGCCTCTTAAATAGCTAAGATTACAAAGGCATGTTACCACACTGCCCATGCTTTTTAAAAAGTAGGCTTTATTTTTTAGAGAAGTTTTAAGTTCACAGAAAAATTAAGTGACATGTTCCTACTACTAATCCCGTAAAGGCACACCCTCCCCACTGTCCGCATCCACAGCACAGCTGCATGTCTGTCATGTGGAACCTGTGTGGACACGATCGCCGCTCCAGGCCGGGAGCTCACAGTAGAGTTCACTCTTCTGTGGTGCCTTCCAGGGTTTAGACACATACACAGGGACTATACCGGAGGTTTTGCTGTCATGCTCGGTAATCCCACTATCTACAAACCTTCTTAGTCTGCCTGTTTAGCCCTGCATTTCCGCTGTTCCCTGGCACCTACTGATCCTGTTTCACCATAGTTTTTCTTTTTCCAGGATGTCATAAAGTTGGAAACAGTCAATATTTAGCATTTCAGATTCTGTGCTTAGTTTTCATAAATATTTCAAATGCCTGCAATTATTACATGAAGTGGATCTATAGTTACTTTTTTTCCCCCAGTACCAGGGACTTATAGTTACTTTTAATCAGTCTCTATTGCTGAATATTCAGTTCGTTCTATGTTTTTACCAGTATAGTTACCACTTTATTGAACATCTTTATGTGCAAGTATGAAACTATATTTAGATGGGAATGAAAACTTACTAACAGGGCAACGCATTTTCCAGTCCCCCTTCTGTCTCTCCTAGACAGAAGCTTTCTTTCTCCCAATAAAGTTTTCCTACTCTTAAAAAAAAAGCTACTTAAAAAGATACAAATAGATACAATTAAAAAGATAAAGGGCTGGGTATTTAGCTCAGTGGTGCCATTGCCTGCCTCACAAGTGCAAGGTCCCCAGTTTGGTTCCCAGTTTAATCCCCGCTACCAAAAAAAAAAAAAAAAATGAAAAGAAAATAAAGATAAATATATATAATCATCTAGAATAGTGTTCACTTAACTGTGTTACTCTATCTCAGGGAGTGAGATGTTGAGCACATTTTTATTTTTGTTTGCAAATATTTTTTGACTTGTACTGTTTTAAAATGCTTCTAAGTGGAAGAAATTAAGAATTGCCGCTGGGCATGGTGGTGCACACCTGTAATCCCAGCACTTGGGAGGCTGAGGCAGGAGGATTGCTGTGAGTTCGTGACCAGCCTGGGCTACATAGTGAGTTCCAGGTCAGTCTCAACTACATGGTGAGACCCTGTCTCAACCCCCCCCAAATTGCCATATGAGATGATATAAGTTGATTAGTGATCATTTCCCAATGTATATGTATCTCAAAACATAAGATGATCAATACACACACACACACACACACACACACACAAGATGTCATACACCTTAAATATATATGATTTTATTTACCTGTTATACTAAAAAAATCAAGGACAACCAGGTAAGATGGCACAACCTATAATCTCAGCATTCTAGGGAGGCTAACACAAACAATCACAAGTTCAAGCCCAGTCTGCGCAATTCAGTGATTTATCAACACCTTATTTCAAAAATAGAAGAAAGGGCTGGGAACAGTGCAGAGGCCCTAGGTATAATCTCAGTATTGAGGGTGGAGGAGGAAGGAAGGAAATATTTATATTTATTTGCATAAAATTTTTCTTTATCTTTATGACCCTTTCTCTAGTTAGATGACCAAGAGGGAAAATCATTGAGTAAAAGAGTAGGAATAGGGCTGGGGATTTAGTTTAGTGGTTTCACCACCTGCCCTGCAAACATAAGGTCCCGCGTTCAATCCCCGGTACCAAAAAAAAAAAGAGTAGGAATATTATTTTTGTAATATATATTATAAGGTGAAATAAAAAAGATTATGATATTTAAATTTCAAATAATTATTAGTCAGGTGTGGTGTCGCATGTTTGTAATCCCAGAACTCAGGAGGCTGAAGGAGGATCGCTGAGAGTTTGAAGCTAACTTGGGCTACATAGTGAGTTCAAGGCCAGCCTCAAGAAGAAAACACAAAAAAATTATTACAGGTTGGTGTGGTGGCGCACACCAGTAATCCCAGCACTCAGGAGCCTGAGGCAGGAGGATCGCTTCAACTTCAAGGCCAGCCTGAATGATATAGTGAGACTGTATCTCCAAAAACATGAAAACAAATAAAAGTATTACAGTGAAAGACACATTACCACTTACCCCCCTGAAAATCCTCCCCCTCACTGTGAACGCACTTACTCCATCATTCTTGCCACTTTCTGAAGCAGTTCTGGAAGCCTCTTGTGTCTTTAACTGTGCTGTCATCACGGCCTCCCTGTCCTGAATCCATTCAAAACGTCATTTTGACTCTGGGGAAGAGCCAGACATCACACAGTGAGAGACCCAGAGATGAGTGTGCACTGTAAGGTATTTAGGAGCTGGCCTTCCCGTTGGATGGCACTTGGCAGCAGCATTCACTATATTTTTGGTCACACCTTGTAAGACAAGAAAGAGGACTTTCAGAACTGCTTCAGAAAGCAGCAAGAACAATGGGGTTTGTTTAAAGTGAGAGGAAGTATTTTGAGGGGGGTTATTGGCAACGGCAGTGTTTCTTTTACTGCAGTACAGTTTTTAAAACATCTACCATATATTTTGGTCATACCACATACAATTTCCTACAGCCTTTGTTTTTTGTTTTTTGGGTTGTTTGTTTTGTTTTGTATTGAAGGTTGAACCCAGGTATCCCTGAGCTACATCCAACCCTTTTAAATTTTTTGTTTTGTTTTGTTTTGGGTTTTTTGTTTTTTGTTTTTTTTTGAGACAGGGTCTCACTATGTAGTTGAGATGGACCTGGAACTCACTATGTAGCCCAGGCTGGTCTAGAACTTGCAGTGATCCTCCTGCCTCAGCTTCCCAAGTGCTGGGATTATAGGTGTGCACCACCACACCCGGCAACGCTTTTAAATTTTTGAGACAAAGTTTCACTAAGTTTCCCAGGCTGCTATTTGCTTTTTTGAAGTGCTTTTTAAAATTTTCTTTGCTTTTCTTTTTTTCTTTTTTGAGACAAGGTCTCCCAATGTAACCCAGGTTTGCCTCAGACTCACAGTAATCTTCCTGCCTCAGCCTTCCGAGTACTGGGATTAGAGATGTGTGCCATCACACCCAGCTAAAGTGTTTAAAAGAATTGTACCATAATATCTGATAATAATTTCTGTAATCCCAGCACTGGGGAGACTGAAGCAGGAGGATTTCTGAAGTTCAAGAAGGCCAGCCTGGGCTACATGGGGCATTGAAGGCCAAGCTGAACTACATTGTGAGACTCTGTCTCAAAAAAAAAAAAAAAAAAAAAACAAATGTGGTGATGTCTGTAATTAATCCTAGCACTCTGGGAGGCTGAGTCAGGAGGACAAGTTCAAGGCCAACCCAAGCAACTGAGTGAGACCCTGTCTCAAAATAACATTTAAAAAGGGACAGGGATACAGCTTAATGATAGAGTACTTGTCTAGCATGTTTAAAGCCCTGGTTTCAAACCACAGCACTGAAGAAAACAAAAAAAGATCCACAATTCCCATTTTGCTGTATCTTTACCATTATTAGTTATTGAAATTATGCCAAGGTTATTCTGGTTTCCTATTTAAATTTTAATTAGCATTTCTTTGACTATTAATGGATTTTAAAATGTTTTTTCCTGTATGATTGTTATTTTTCCTTTTTATCTTTGAAGTATCTGTTCTAGACATTTTTCTACCAAAATCTTATACTAGTAAGAAGAGGTCTATATTAAATAGTATCAGTTTCTTGTAGGTGGTAAAAGTGAGTAATAGAGTCATTAATTTGCCTTGGGGGATATTGTCCTGAGGGGTTCTCTGTGTAACTGTGTGTAGCTGTTTGTTCTCTCTCTTTTTTTTTTTTCTGGTATGGGGATTGAACTGAGGCCGTTGTACTTGCCAGGCAGGCACAATGCCACTGAGCTATATCCTTGGCCTCTGTTCTCTGTTTTTTTTTTTGAAGAAGAAGCAAACTTTTACTTTATCTTTTAATGTAAGGCACTAAATAAAATGCTTTGGATATTTGAGTACTAACTTTTTCACTCATATTTTTTTAAGGAGCTCCCATCTTACCTGGGCAAACTGGATGTCCCATTTCAAAGAGGTAATATTTCTCATTTACGTCTCAAATGGTGACATTAAAGTATATCCGTACATGTTGAGAAGCCCATGTGTTTTCTCTATAAAGTTACTGCTTAAAGTACTTCCCTTTCAGCTTGTTCTTTCAAGTCTGCAAATCTGAAACACTGACAGTCATCTTACCCTGATACGATCAAGCCCAAAGATTTAAACTAGCTTGTTCGATTTAAATTCACATATACTTAATTTAAGCCTGCATACCAATTACAGGAAATTTGGATATTATTAAAGTTCCTTTGTACTTCTAACACTTCAAGTTCTAGAAGATTGCCATTACTGATAGTAGTTACCCCCCATTAAGGAGTGAATAAAAAGAAGTAGAAAGCATCTCTTTACATATCTTTACTGGTTTGCTTGTGCTTTATTTTTTCACCTGTCTCCTCCATGTTTTAAATGACTGAAGAAACTTCATTACTCAGACTACTCCTTAGCAGTTTAGCAGTTCTCTTTCATTTGAAGGAGCTCTTCTCCCAAAGAAGCACGTCTCTTGCCCATTGTTCATCTCTGCTTTTAGAATGGCAAAGGCAGCCAGGCGTGGTGGCTCACGCCTATAATCCCAGCACTCAGGAGGCTGAGGCAGGAGAATCACTGTGAGCTCGAGACCAGCCTGGGCTACACAGTGAGTTCCAAGTCAGCCTCACTACATAAGTGAGACCCTGTCTCAAAAAACCAAATAAATAAATAAATAGAATGGCAAAGGCACCATGGCTTTATCTTGCTTCATTGTCTACTGGGGACCAGCAGTTGTGTTGCTGTCATAGAATCAAGAAATAGGTTGTGGTGAGTTGGAAGCAGTGCATACGCTGCTCTGACCATTTTACCAGCAAACCACCTGCCATGCAACGCATCGACAGCAGCAATAGCTGCAGCAGTTGATGGGCACTTCACATACACGTTGCCCTGAGCAGAATTCTTGTCAACATAAACATGAATAACTCCTCCATGTTTATTACTTTCTTCAATCACATCATCCTTAATCTCTCTGTCCCATCCAACTTCTTCTTCTGTTTGAGGATTAAACATGTTTGAAAGTTGGAAACACTATATTGCAAAGGGTTGCATAGAGGCAGCTGCAGCTAAAGCTGCAGCTTCAGTCTGCTGGGAAAGTTGTGTTTGCAAAACAATAACGAAGGAGAATTCTGCCACAGCACCAAATGCCGAAGAGCCACTCATTTGTAAAGCTTGCTGTGCAGCTGGTGGACTCTGCAAACCAGTACCTTCTGCACATCTAGTCATTAATTGGAGATGACCAGTTGTTCCCAAGTAGTTCCAGTCCTTTCTAATTCCTCACTGTCCAAAAATGAACTAGCACTAGAAGCATTGGTACGTTTAGTAACATGACCAACTTTCATTGGCCTTCCTGCTAGTTCAATCCATTAAGCTGTTCCAAAGCCTTGTTGGCACATTCTGAGTCAGAAAATGTAATGAATCCATATCCCTTAGATCAACCTGTTTCACTATCCATCATGAGCTGGATACTTTCGATCCTTCCAGAAGGCTCAGATATCCCCTGAAGCGTATCTTTGGTTATGTTGAAGTGTAATGAGCCCACACAAAGCCTCACTTCCCTTTTCAAAATTGCCATTGCTGCAGCTGTTTTTTCTGCCTGCGATGCTTGTACTATGATTGGCGCTCCAAAAACCCACTGGCCAGTCAATCTTATTACTAGAGGCACTGAACTAACATCAACAAACTCCACATAACCAATTCCTTTGGAATGTCTTGAATTTCTATCAGAAATCATCCTTAACATCTCGAACCTTTCCTAGTGTAGAGAAAAACTCTTCCAAATCTCTTGGTCAAATTCTTGCTGCTAGCTGCATGCAGAAAACTGTCCTTGCATCTCTATCTTCTGGAGTCAGATTATCAGTAGGTTCCCTCGCAGGGCTCTTGTCTTTTCTGAATGGACTTTTGCTTCAAGAACCTCGTCTGCTTAATTTGATGCTATGAGGCAACCCAGCCTTTCCTCGGATGGCAATGTTAGGAGTAGGGACTTCTGTAGTGGCCTCAGAATCTGCGATCTCTACCTCTTGAATGGCTGGGTCTCCCTTCTGTGATTCTATTTCCCTTCCGTTCACGGCTGTTGTTCTTTTTCTATCTCTACTTGGCTTTCTTTCTTTACTTTTGCTTCTCTTTCGGTCTTGACTTCGATTTCTGCTCTTGCTTTTCTTCCTCTTTTTGCTACGTTCTTCATGTCCGTTAGCACGGCTCAACTTGTTCTCATCCTTATGATTGACAGTTCACACTGCAATCAAAGGTGAATTCATGGGACTAGAGGTGAGATATCATTAGGCAAGTCTTCTTGTAAGGAGCCTCAAGCATTGCTTCAATGTCAATATCATCTGCCATTTTCTCTTAACACCTTTGTGGGCTTTTGGACGCCTGTAGTGCTCGCAGTCGGAAAGTTGGCTGCTGCTCTGGCTCCTTTTAAGCCCTAAGGCCCAGGCCGCGGTTCTGCCCAGCCTGATTATCAGGCTCCAAGAGCAGACTGGTCCGAGAAAATCTAAAAGAAACAATGGAGGGCCGGGGATTTAGCTCAGTGGTGCTGCCGCCTGCCTTGCAAGTGCAAGGTCCTGAGTTCGATCCCGAGTACCAAAAAAAAAAAAAAAGAAAAGAAAAGAAATTAGAGGAGCCGGAGGAAGAGCAGGATGGAGGCTTTGGCAGCTGAGGATCTTCCCCTGCGACAGCATCAGCAGTGAGCTCCCTGAAATGGCAGCAGCTGCTTCCTCATACTCACACTCAACACACGTACACACACCCATTCACCTTTGGGATGACTCACATATGATTGAGTAAAACTACAGGTGGCTGCATGTCATGGGCCCTGGTGTGGTTTGCATGTGGTTGAAACCTTGGATATGTTTCAAGGATCTAGTATTTTTAAATGTTTTCATCAAGTATACGTATTTCTGGGGTACAGTGTCATGTTTCAGTCCATGAGTACACTGGGTACTTATCAAATCAGATAATTTGTATATCCATCACTTGAAACATTTATCATTTCTTAGTGGTGAGAATATTCCTCTCTTTGGGGTATTTTTCAATACCTTATTGTTAACTATAGTTATGCTATGCTACCGTTGAACACCAGAACTTAGTCTTCGTTTTAGTTTTATTTTGTATCCGTTGACCAACCTCTTCTCCTCCCCTCCCCAGTCTCTAGTAACCACTGTTCTATGTGCTACTTATATGAAAGCGATTATTTTAGATTCCATATATGAATTGAGAGCAGGCAGTATTTGTCTTTCTGTGCCTGGCGTGCTTCACTTAGCATAATGTTCATCCATGTTGTATCAAATCACAGGCTTTTTTGGTGACTGAATAGTATTCGGTTGTAAGTACATACACTGCATTTTCCTTTTTACCATTCATTGTTGGGCGCTTACACTGATTGCATATTTTGGTTCCTGTAAATAGTGCTAAAGTAAACAGATATCTCTTTCACATACTGATTTCATTTCCTTTTGATATATACTCAGTAATGGGATTGCTGGATGGAATAGTAATTCTATTTTTAAGTGTTTGAGGAACCTCCATGCTGTTTTCCATAATGGCTGTACTAATTTACACTCCCACCTACAGTGTGCAAGGGTTCCCTTTTCTCCGCATTTCGCCAGCACTTGTTATCTTTTGTCTTTTTGATAATAGCCAGCCTGTGTAGAATAAGGTGCTATCTCATTGTGGTTTTGATTTACATTGCTCTGATAACTAGTGAGTATTTTTTTTCTTCATATATTTCTTGGCTATTTTTATATCTTTTTTGGGAAAGGTGTCTCTTAGCGTCTTTTGCCCTTTTTTTTTGTTTTTAGACCGGGTCTCATGTAGTTCAGGGATTGTAGGAGTATGCCACCACTCGTGGCTCATGTTTAAAAGTTTTAAGACTTTATAAGAGAGATATATATATAAAACCAGAAAAAAAATAGAAACATTTTATCTTTTAATCTTTGTGGAGATTTGATATCACTCTACAAAGGAAAAAATAGGAAAAACTTCACATCTGAAAATTTCCTTTACGTTCATAAATCCAAAATTCACCTAGATATTACAAGAGCTTATCAAATACAATCCCATAAACTACAAAATGAAAAAAATTTTCCTCAGACCACCATTGCTTAATGCTACTTACCTGAAAGGCAAAAATCAAATGCACATTGGATTTAAATATCTCTTACAGAAAGATAATTTTAATTTTTTTTCTGATATTTGTTTGGCTTTCTAAAATTTTCAAATCAAGGGTAAAAAAAATTTTTGTTTTTTCAGTGCTGGGAATGGAATCAAGGCCTCAGGCATGCTGGACAAGTGTTCTACCACTGAGCTCCACCCCTAGCCTTATTTTGGCCAATTTTAAATCTAGTTCATGAGATAGTTATAGTTCATTTTGAAAATTAGTACCAGTAGATCATGCACAACAAAAGAAACCGTCAACAGAGTGAAGAGACAACCTGCAGATGTGAGTGTGCATTTCCACCCAAACTATACTGCTGACAAATGGTTAATATACAAAATGTAAAAAGGAATCAGACAAATCAATAGCCAAAAAAAAAAAAATCTGATTTAAAAATGGGCAAAAAGCCAGGTGTGGTGGTGTATACCTGTAATCCCAGCATTCAGGAGGCTGAGGCAGGAGGATTGCCATGAGTTCAAGGCAAGCCTAAACTACCTTGGGAGACCATGTCTCAAAAACAAAGCAAAACAAAACTTTTGAATGTGAGAGACTTTTGAGACAATCTAATCCTGTCTTCTGTAATAGATTAGGACATTTAAATCTAAAGGTACAGATTAACTCGATCAAGGTCAGATCACAAATGACAGCTGGAACTTGAAGCTAGGTTTCCTCCTTACTAGGTCATTGTTCAGGCGGACCTACTGCCTCTCCCTAGCATAGCTGTCTTTTATAAGAATGCTTGGTGTTCTTGGTGTTCAGACAGTTGCAGGGAATAAGTCAGTGCTTTTGCTTGTAATTTACTTTATGCCTCAAATATGAACTTCACTGCATTTGAAACAGGCATCGCACTGCAAACACTGACTCAGATTAGCTAAAGGTGTTTAGTCTACGGCCATACCACCCTGAACGCGCCCGATCTCATCTGATCTTGGAAGCTAAGCAGGGTCGGGCCTGGTTAGTACTTGAATGGGAGACAAAGATGTTTAGTTTTCTGTCCTATTCCCCTTGCTCAGAACTCTTGCTTACTTTTTCCTAAATACTAGATTGTTGGAGTTAAGTAAGTTTCAGGCCTTTTGTTTTCTTTGTGATGCACAAAGTAATTACAGTCCTCTTTTTTTTTTTTTTTTTTTTTTTTTTTTTTTGGTACTGGGGATTGAACTCGGGTCCTTGCACTTGCAAGGCAGGCCACCGAACCGCTGAGCTAAATCCCCGGCCCTACAGTCCTCATTTTAATGACCCATTTCCTGTCCCAGGCGCCTAGGTTGTCAAATGGTCACTAAACGAGACATGGTATATAATACCTACATTACAATAAAATATGTACATTACAATATTCAGGACAAAGAAATGGTCAAAGGAAAGTCAACTTGATGACTTGGCTTTTTATTTGCATAACTTATGTGAAGCACTATAATGTATAACTAAATAAAACTATAATAATGTACAATACAATCAGCAAAAATTACAGTACTGTATAAGCAAAGTGTACTGTACAAAGAAGACATTGAGGCTGTATAAACAAGATGTACAAAGTTGTATGAAAAAAGATGGGTCATAAGACCAAACAGTTGTTAAACAGGTAGGTCATTAAATGAGGAATATCTATAAATGTTTTCTTTAAAGGGGTCCTTTTTGTGCCACAGGCTATGTTAAAAAATAAGTGTAAAAACCAGGCAAGGTGGCTTGTAATCCCAGTGCTCAGGAAGCTGAGGCAGGAGGGTTGCCATGAGTTTGAGGCCAGCCTGAGCTATATAACAAGATCCTGTCAAGGGAACCACTGAGCTAAATCTCCAGCCCAAGGATATTTATTTTACTGTTTAGTTGTTTAGAGTAATGGAATTGAAATCTTGTGTGAAGGGGGGCATTTTTATGGTAGTCTTATAGTAGATATAGTGTAGAGATAGTATATTACATAATTGATAGGAGGGAGGAAAAGGAACTAGGGAAAGAGGAAGGAAAATAACCCTCAGGGAAAATCATGATTAAAATCCCCTTCTAATTTTTCATTGACCCTAATTTGTATAGTGGCATTGATAATAATTCTTCAACATATTTGTGTACTAACTTTGCCTGAACATTATTCTCAGTCTGAAAAATAGAGTGATGATATCATAGCAAAACTTTGACAATTTCAGTCTCTACTAATCAGGAAATGGTTAAATTGAAATGATTAAATTATATCTACTCAGTGGAATATTTTGAAACCTTTTTAAATCATCATAATAGAATAAAATGGGTGGATTATATCAATGTCAGTAACCTGGTTGTGATACGGTACTATAGTTTTCCAAAAGGTTACTACTGGGAAATTTGGATAAAAGGTACATAGATCTCTCTGTGTTATTTCTTACAATTGCATGTGATTCTACAGTTATCTTATGATAAAAAATGTAATGTTTAAATCACAAAAAATGCCCAAGGGTCATAATGGTTATATCTGAGTTGTTGGATTTTACATGAGTTCTTTTTTATACTTTGCCTCATTTTTAAGTGTCCTGTACTTTTCTAATCATTAAAAAAGTAAAAATTATTTTTTAAAAATACATTTAAAACTCTTGCTTTCTCAGCATGCCAGTGTGAAGGAAAAGATACCCGAATTCCATTACTGAAGGAAGTTTTTGAGGCCTTTCCTAATACCCCCATTAACATCGATATCAAAGTCAACAACAATGTGCTGATTAAGAAGGTACTGAAGACACTGGCTCCTCTCGGTGTGTTGCATCCAATTTCACGAACTGAAAGAAGCTTAGAGTAGATGACTGCATAGGTTGACAGTGTTCAAGGAAATGGGATACTCTGGGGATCAGCATTGTTGTAAATAATGCCTGGTGGAGGTCACCTGACTGTAGGAAAGTGTTTTCAGAGTGACTCGACATGTCTCAGTCATTGGTAAAAGTAGGTTATGCATGAGCGGGGCATGCTGGCACATACCTGTGATCCCAGCATTTGGGAGGCTGAGGCAGAAGGATCACTGCAAGTTTAAGAACAGCCTGGACTACATAGTGAGTTTAAGGCCAGCCTGAACTACACAGTGAGACCCTGTCTCAAAAAAAAAAGTAAGCTATACATCAGTCTGGCATTCATATAATTAATTTCTAGTTTAATTTTTCAGTTGTGATCATTTTATGTTAAATTACTAAATAGTTATATTCTATCAAATAAATTATATAATGGTAAAATATAAATAAAATAATCTTTCATAAAGAATCTAAATTTATTTAGCAGTTTTTCCAAAATTTTACACTAATCATTGGCAGATAGTCACTTGTCATCCATTTTTTAAGTAAAATGATACAAGTGGATTTACAAATAGGCACATGCATAAAATTTTGAATTTTCACATGTAGGTTTCAGAATTGGTGAAGCAGTATAAGCGAGAACACTTAACAGTGTGGGGTAATGCCAGTTACGAAATTGTAGAAAAGTGCTACAAAGAGGTAAGCTGCAAAAATGGAACAGAATGACCTGCCTTTGCTGTTGTCATGTATCTGTCAATAAGTCATTACAGTGATAATTTTTAAAACTTCTCTTATTTCATAGCCTGCATAGAAAGACAGATGGTACTAAGTGGAAGCAGTTACCTAGAGGTTTGCTTATAGAAATAATAGATTTTGACCTTGCAATTTAAGTTCATTGTAATCAGATTGCTTCACAGAATTATTTTCACAGCTAATATTGTTTATTAGGATTTCATGTGCCTTGGACCAAGGATTTAGCTCAGTGGCATCGTGCCTGCCTTGCAAGTGGAAGGTCCTGAGTTTGATCCCCGGTACCAAAAAGGAAAAAAAAAGATTTTATGTGCCTTATAAAATAAAATATGAATCTCTTTTTAACATCTATTTTTGCTAAGCAGTTGAATTTTTATGTAATGTCTAAAGTATTTAGCCTATCAACTTATTTTTGCCCACATAGACTTCATTAAGCCAAGAGCATCATTTTACCGTATTATATAAAGCAAGGGCACCTATTCATTGAAAGTTTTCTGTTTGAAGGAAATAAATCTCTAAAAATTAATTTGAGCTGGTGTGGTAGCTTCACGCCTGTCTTCCCAGCACTCTAGAGTCTGAGGCAGGAGGATTGCTGTGAGTTCAAGGTGAGTTTGAGCTACATAGTGAATTCAAGGCCAGGCTGAACTATGTAGTGAGACCCTGTCTCAAAAAAAAAGAAAAAAAATTCCTTTGATATTTTTTTGAAATGATAGTCAGCTAAGAGAATTGGAAATTCAACATGTTTTATTTTTTGGTACCAGGAATCGAACTCAGGATCTCATGCTTGTGAGGCAGGCAGCAAACCACTGAGCTAAATCCCTGGCCAACATCTTTTAAAAAATTGTAAGCATTGATGATTCCTTTTACCACACAAGTGATATCATACTGCAGGAGTATGACAGAAGTAGTGATTCTCATATACAGAGAACTCTTCTGGGACAGTCCTTTCTTCCTAGCAAATAAGGCAAAAACATCTATGATCAGCACCAGTGCAGTCCACAGTGCAGTGGAGGCTCTCATTGCAGCAGGGAGGTTTCCTTTATGTGCAGCAAGCTCTGTGAGGTCCCAAGGTTACTTGTTTTTGGAGGGGACTGAGCAGCCTCAGCTCCTAGGAGCTTAGAACTAAGACCTCTCCAGGACGAATCATTGGTGTTATTTTCAGGTGTTATTATAAAGAGGTAATGTACTAGATGCCTCATGACTTGCTGACCTTTTTACATCATCACAAACATTTTCAAATAAAATGTGATGATACTGACAGCTGGAAAGGAGGCAGAGAAACTGGATCTTTTACAAGTTGCTGGTAGTGAATGTGAAATAGTGCAGCCACTCTCTTCATTAATTAGCTTTTTACAAAACTCAACACACTTGCCACGTGCCTTACAAGTACAAGGTCCCTAGTTCAATCCCTGGTACCAAAAACAAAAACTAAAACTAAACACATATTACTGTGTGAACCAGCAACATCTTCTTGGTCATTTATCCCAGAAAAATGAAAGTATGTACACAAAAACCTGTACCTGGATTTTTTTTCATTCGTAATTTGTATGAATACATGTTTGCAGAACATAATGATTATATTCATTATGTACCTGAATTTTTGCAGGCACTTTATTTGTAAAAGCAGACTGCTGGAGAAAACCACATGTCCCCAGTAGGCAAATAGCAAAACAAACTGGCACCACCACATGATGATATACTAATCAGTAATGAAAGAGGGTGAACTATTAATACCTACAGCACCCTGGATGGTACTCAAGGCCATTATGCTTAGTAAAAAATACAACACCAGGGCCGGGGATTTAGCTCAGTGCCTGCTTCAGCAAGTGCAAGGTTTTGAGTTCGATCCCCAGTACCAAAAACAACAACAATAGAAACCAATCTCACAAGATTATATACTAGGAGCCAGGGATTTAGCTTAGTGGCACCACACCTGCCTCACCAACACAAAGTCCTGAGTTTGATCCCCAGTCCGAGGGTGGGAGTTATATATACTTTTAAAAAACTGTAAACACACATAGAGTGCAGATTAATGGCTGCCAGGGGACAAAGACTAAGGGTAGGGTAGAGAATTGGTATAAATATCAGGAGATGCCACAAGGGAATTCATATGGTGATGAAACAGGTTTTTTGTTTTTGTTGTTGTTTTGGTACCAGGGGTCAAACTCAGGACCTTGTAATTGCAAGGCAGGCATGGTGCCACTGAGCTAAAGTTTTGTATCTTGCATATGATGGTGGCTACATGGCTCCACATGTGGATTAAAATTGCATAGAATACACACACACAGATAAATAGAGTTTCTAAAATGTTAACACCTCCCCTCAGAAAAAGATGGAAGCTGAATAAAGACTGTGGTCTGAATTAATAATAATATACCAGATCCAGTTCCTGCTTTGACCTTGTACTGCAGTTACATCAAATTTCACCTTTTGCGGAATCTGGGTGAAGGATGAATGAGACTCTTGCTATTTTTGTAACTTCTTATGACTCTATAATTATTTCAAATTTTAAAAATTCTCTCCTGATGCACAATTCTTTCCTGATTCAAATTTTTTCCCCAGAAGCCTCTAGCTATGTATTATTTTAGAATTTTAGACTCCAAAAACCTTTCTGCAGTGCCATTCAAGCATCACAGTAAAAATGTCTCAATAATTGTCATTCATATTACCAACATGCTGTATAATTGATCCATTTTTTTATAGTTTCTGAATAAGACCTAGCAGAATTTTACATTAGTGCTTTAATGCCCAGATGCTATAAATCTAAAATATAAAAGTAATAGGAAGTGGAACACACAATGGTGATGGAAAAATGCATAGCACTGATTCTCACCTACTGGCTTTTTATTTGTTCACACATAGTGCAGTGATTCTTAAATTTGGCTGCACATTGGAATGACCCAAGAAAATTAAAATGCCTTGGTCCCATCTCACATGTTCTGATTTAAAAGATATAAAGTATATTAGGGCCAGGGATTTAGCTCAGTGGTTCCGCCTCCTTTCTTGCAAATGCAAGATCCTCAGTTCAATCCCCAGTACCAAAAAAAAAAAGAGAGATAAAGTATAGTCTGTTGTTCAACATTTGCCAGCTTACCACTGTCCTACCCCTCCCGGCAGCCATGCATAGCTCTCCAGAAGTACCAGTTACTGTTTTTAGTGCTCTTGTTTCAAAGTGGCATAAATTTTTAAGGGCCAGCCCATAACCCTGTTTTTCGTAAGCTCTGTGATTCTTAGTGTATGAATTTGCAGAACTCAAGGTTTTTCAGGGACTTGTATGCTGTGTTTTAGCTGAAACACCTGCATGTAAATAAGTCAGAAACGTTACAGAGCACCATGTGAACACAGGGGCAAAACAAAAACCTCAAACTTTCTTATTTTTCTTTAAAGAAGGAGATAATTTAGTTAGTTATTTAAAATCAGTTACTTTTAGCTGTGCATGGTGGTGCATGCCTGTAATTCCAGCACTTGAAAAGACTTCTGGAGATCAATTGCACAAGAATACAAATATACTTGACATCCCCAAGCTAGTCACTTACAAATGGTTAAAATGGGAAAAGGAGGTGGTGGCTCAGGCCCAAATCACACTAAGGAGGCTGAGGCAGAAGGATCACAAGTTCTAGGCAAGCTTGGACTACAGAGTAAAAGTGAGTCTCAAGATAAAATGAAAAAAAAAAAGTTAAGGTAGCAAATTTTGTTATGTGATGTATATTTTACATATATGAAAGATATACCTTTCCATTTTTAAAGTTTTAGAGTTTCAAACACGTTTTCCAATAGAAACTTAGAATAATGGTTAGATTCTTGGATTTACCAAGTCTTATTTATATTTTGTACTTGATCTATAACATAAGCAAAACATGACCTATAGATATCATGTTCTATAGAGCACATGGTAAGATCACAAAATACAGTGGATTTTAACTTTTTAAAAAAATGTATTATAGTAAAAGACATTGCCATTGATCCTCTTCAAAGTATTCCTGCTCTCTTTGAATATATGTATCAATCCTGCCACTCTATAAAGCTGGTCTAGAAGACCTCTTTTGTCAGAATCTTCAGTTATGTTGCCATGACTACTTCAAAGTCCTGAAATGATCCGAAACATTTATCTTTGGGTGGGGATTTAGCTCAGTGATTCCGGTGCCTGCCTTGCAAGTGGCAAGGGCTGGAGTTCGATCCCCAGTACCAAAAAAACAAAAAACAAATTTATCTTTTGTGGTCATTTTGTCTTTAGGGAAAAGCCAGAAGTCACATGGTGCCAGTGAATAAAGTAGATAAAGACACACCATAATGCTTTTATTTAATAGAAATTGCTCTGGGGAAGGAGAATGGGGATTTGCTGTTTAATGACTATAGAATGTGTGAGTATTTTGTGGGGGACTAATGATAATGCATTTTACTGTAACTTTTTTTTTTCTAGTACCAGTGATTGAACTCAGGACCCTGCACATGCCAGCCAGGCAGGGTGCCACTGAGCTAAATCCCCGACCCCTACTACTACTGTAATTCTTTGATCCCACCTCTTTTTAAAACAGGTGTCAGATTACTATTTCTTTTATTAATCTCTCTATTTTGTCCCATTAGATTCTAGTATGTTTAGTCTCTAGTTGTGAATACTATGACCACCAGACAGAAGTGGTATTGCAAATGCAGAGAGAACGAATAGAGAAACTATAGCAATATTAATAACATTATAGGGCTCCAAGGGAGAACCTTGTTTGTTGCAGACTAGCCATTTCTAAGGATCGTCATAATTCAGAGAGTCCTTCAGTGGCGGTTGAGATATAGTGTTGGGAAAATTTGAGACTTATGAAATAATGCTCTTTATTTGAGCAATTACTGTAAAGTAACATCAAATATTGTTTTTCTTTTAGAATTCAGATATTCCTATACTCTTCAGTCTGCAACGCGTTCTGCTTATTCTTGGCCTTTTCTTCACTGGCCTCTTGCCTTTTGTGCCTATTCGAGAGCAGTTTTTTGAAATCCCAATGCCTGCTATCACATTGAAGTAAGTGGTTACCCTGTTTTCATCAGCTGTCGGTTACAGAGGGATTAAGAAAAAAGCTCACTAATATCAGCATTGATTTGATTTGTTCATTTATGTTTTAGTGCTGGGCCGCGAACCTGGAGCTTTGTACATGCTAAGCGTGCACTCCGCCATGGTGGGTTGGCTGACGCTCACCCCCTCACATCGGGGCCGGTCCCAGTGTAGAAGTGTTGATAGGTGGTGGGAACAGTCAGAGGTGATCAGGTCATTAGGAGGGATTAATGCCCTTCTTGTGTGAATGAGTTCTCATCTTTGGCTTTCTCTTGCTTCTCTCATACATGTACCCCTCTCTCACACATACCCACTGCTTTTCTGCCACCACAAAGCCCTCCCATGAAGCCAACTAGATACACTGTCATCTTCTTGGACCTCTAGAACTGTGAGCTAAATAAACCTCTTTTCTTTCTAAATTACCCAGCTGTGGGTATTTTGTTACAATAATAGACAAATGTCAATGTTAAAGAATAGGTTTCTTGGGCTGGATTTAGCTCAGTGGTGCAGTTGCTTGCCTTGCAAGCTCAAGGACCGGAGTTTGATCCCCAGTACCAAAAAAAAAGAAAAGAAAAAAGAATAGTTTTCTGCAAGCCTGGAGGTGTCAGGCAGTGATGTAGCACTTGCCTAGCAGGCGCAGGGCTCTGAGTTTGATCCCCCACATAATGTGCACACAGAAAGGATAGATTTCTGTAGTTGTTTCCATGTTCTATTACCTGACCTATGTTGACAGTGGTTTTGATATAATCAAAACACATTTTCTAAAATAAATGATAAAGGGTTATAAAGACAGTGGACCCTTGACTTTTAAACTTGATTGGTTCCTGAGGGCTGGTTGCAACTCAAGTTGGTTGTAAGTCAGTACAGCTGAGATCTGGATGTTTACCTGGGTACCTGCTATAGATAAGAGACGAATCTTCCATTAACCTAATTAACCCAAGTTGTTCGTAAGTCAGGCCAGTCATAAATTGAGGGCCCACTCTGGGCCCACCTCAGGTTATAGCAACAGTCTGTGCCTGTGTACTTAGAATCAGATGAAAATAATTGAGCTTAATTACAGAAGCTTAATAATTATTTTATTTTGACATCAAACAGCAACTGCCCTTCAACTTCCCTTTATTTTATATTTCATTGGCAGCAACACCCAGCTAAAACTCCATCAAATTCCAAATTCACCAGTAGGATTAATACATTTAGGAGGAAAAGCAACTACCACTAAAACTGCTGAAAAAAAGAAAGGAACCAAAACAGAAAAACCTTTGCAGACAGGAGAAAGAAGAGTAGAGTTAGTTTGTGTAAGATATTTCTGTATTCATATAGTTTCTATGCTCGGTACAAAGCCTTGATTTTCATTGACTAATTTAATAGGAAGATAAAATATTTCAAACACTTAGAATTGCCTGACAAGTAATAAGCTGTCAGTACTTAATAGCTTTTATTGTTAAATTATCTTACTAATATTGAAGAAAGCTTTGCTTCCTAATCCTATGTACTCAGAATGTGATTTTTAGCTCTAAATTTATAAGAACAACCAAGTGATGACAGAGGAACCTGGAGCTCCTTGGGAGATCTTGTAAATGGGTTAAAACATTTTTCATCCCCATTGAGAACTTAAAACAATCAAGCTGGGGCTGGGGACGTGGCTCAGTGGTAGAGTGCTTATCTAGCATGAGTAAGCCCTGGTTTCCATCCCCAGGACAGCAAAATAATAATAGTGATAATAATAATAATAATCGGCTGAATATTAGTGCAGCAGTCATTTGAAAATATTTGTTCAAACAAGTCTGGTCAGTGCTCTCATGCTTAGCTTCTGTTTCATAACCATTTTCCTACTTGAGTTTCTTAGTGATGAGCGTGTTTGTTCTAACTATTGCCAATTATATTTAGTAAAAGTCTTGCAGCTGCTTCTCAGACAAAAATCAACAGAAATACTTCTACCAAGAAACTGTTTCCACTTGCTGTATTAAAATGATTCCTGTTTATTCCTGAAGTGCTTAACTTTTCTCCTGCCTGAGATAGGCGCTTATGCTCTCTAGATTAATTCCACATGTTTCATTTTGGAAGTAAATGTATTGAAGTACATAGTGTAGAAATAGAAGAAGTAGAAGCACCATGTATTAGTCTTTTCTATAGAAGGAAATTATGGAATAAGACATAGAATATTTGTGTGGGTTGTAATATTTGAGTAGAAGACAGCTGATACTTTATAAGATAATCTAATAATTGTGTTCAATGAGATAATTAGTATATAAGGTACTCAATCCCTGAGATACCTGAAATTACAACCAGGACTTTCCATCTAGGTCCAAGTTAGGGGAAAAAAAGAACTTGGACTTCATTCAGAGAGCTTATACTAAAAACTGAGTTCAAAGAGAAAGGGAAAAAAGAAATTTAAGACGGAGGTGGTCTGGGGATATACTTCAGTGAGCGCTTTCCTGGCATATGGAAGTCTCTGGATTTGATCTCCAGCACCTATTTTTTAAAAATGGGGACTCAGAATCATCTTAAGAAAGCAGCTGAGAAATCTTGGCAGCAGAGAGGTTCATCAGAAATTTCCTGGGCTTAGTTCAATCCCTGGTACCAAAAAAAAAACCCAGAAATTTCCTGGGCTGGGACTTTAGCTCAGTGGCTCAGGTAGTCATGCTGTAGACGTCAAGAGATGGAAGAAGGAACTCAGCATGGGGGTAAAAATTCAAGGAGACCCTTTTAGTAGGAAACACAATTTAAAAGGACATCGTAGGGGCCGGGGATTTAGCTCAGTGGTTCTGCTGCCTGCCTCGCAAGCGCAATGGACCTGAGTTCAATCCCCGGTACCAAAAAAAAAAAAAGGACATGGTCCACATCTGCCAATATTGAAAGGAAAGAAAATATGCATTAAACGCTTCACTTTTACCCTAAATACCTTTTAATCCAGGTACAGTTTGGTTATATGTTTCAGTCTACCACACACTAAATTATAGCCAACACAGCAAGAGAAAGGGATTTCATGAGAGAGAGAGAGAGAGAGAGAAGAAATGTGATGAGCCCTGGGTAACAGGACCCTGGAAAATATTTCTTTTTTGTTTTTGGTGCCAGGTATCTAACTTGAGCCCTTGCACTAAATCTCTGGCCCAAAACAATGTTTTTTTAATTTTTTCACCTTTAAATCATGGTCACAGAAAGTTAGCTTGAAGACAGTGGAAACAGAAAGCCAAACTGGTTTATACATTATTTTGTCTGCTACAAAATTTTTTGACAACATACTAACTAGGCACTCTTTATTTTGAACTTAACCTTAATCACACTGATGTATTCCTGTGTTCTAATTAAAACCTTGTCTTCCCTTAGGTTAAAAGAACCACGCACCATGTCCAGGAGTCAAAAGTTTCTCATCTGGCTTTCTGATACGTAAGAATTTTAGTTTCTTGATATGTAAGAAACTATTATTGCTGTTATGTTATTTTTCCTTTTTTTTTTTGGTATGGGGATCGAACTCGGAACCTTGTGCTTGCAAGGTAGGTGGCAGAGCCACTGAGCTAAATCCCTGGCCCTGCTGTTAATGTTATTGCTGTAGCTATATTTATTAAATATATAACACTTGTAATCCAGAGCGAACTTTCCACCTGTAATTGGTAAGGAGGACTTGTTGAGCATCTGCTCTGCAAGTGGCTATGTTTGGATCATTTAGAACTATCTTAAGATGTAATGTCAACCACTTTCAGGAGAAAACAGCTCTAATTCACCCAACTCAATGATTTATTTGAGATTAGCTAATTAGCATCAGAGTTGGGATAAATAACCTTTCCCTTCCATTGATTTGCTGTTTCCACTAGCCTAGAGTCCAAAACGTGGTAAAAAGTATATAAATATATACATACACACAGTAAATGTAAAAGCATATATTGCTGAGCATGGTGACACACTCCTGTAATCCCAGCACTCAAGAGGCTGAGGCAGGAGGACCACCATGAGTTTTTTTGTTTTGTTTTTGTTTTTTGGTACCAGAGATTGAACTTGGGACCTTGTGCTTGTGAGGTAGGCAGCAGAACCACTCAGCCAACTCCCCAGCCCCTAAAAGTGTATACTGCCTACTGACATACTTCTTAGAAGTATTTGCACTTAACATATTAAGTATTAACAGCAGAAAGGTAGTCCTGCCTACAGGGTAGATATCTACTTTGAAGAAAATGCCTTAATTTCTACAACATATTAAGTTTAAATTTAGGTAAAAAACATAGATATTTGTTCTGTATTTTACTTTAAAATGGAGCCTTGAATGCTTAAATATATTAATAGTCCTAAATCACACACAGCCTTTTATTATTTAGCTCCTCCTTCAGAGAGTCTTAGAGGACAGGGGTGGTGGTGGGAGCCTATAATCCCAGCATGTGGGAGGTTGAGACAGGAGGACCTGGGCTACATAGTGAGACCCTGTCTCAAAAAAAAAAACAAAAACAAAAAAACAGCCAGGTGTGGTAGTACATGCGCCTGTAATTCCTAGTACTTGGGGGGTTGAGACAGGTGGTTCGCCGTAAATTCAAGGATAGCCTGGGCTACACAATGAGTTCAAAGCTAGCTTGAACTACATAAAGAGACCCTGTCTCAAAAAACAAATTTTTTTTTTTGCCAGGTATTTAGCTTAGTGTTTCCACTGCTTGCCTTGCAAGCGCAAGGACAGGAGTTCAATCCCTGGTCCCAAAAACAAACAAAAAATGCTGAAGAAAAATATTAAAAAAAAAATTTTTTTAAACACTCTAATCCATTATGTAATTGAAATACAATGTTGTAGAAGCTGAAACTGAATTTCCTGACTTATTTAACTTGGAAAATCGAGAGTGCATACTTTCTGGCCTTTCTCACTCCCATTCTGGCCCCAGCAGGGAAGCTGAGGAAACCTCTTCTCCACAGAGGTGCTTAGGTGCCTAAGAATGGGTCTCCTGGGGTTCTTGGCAGCACTAGCAGAGGATCTGGTTGTGCAGCCAGCAGCCAGCAGCTAAAAGGGATCCAGCACTTTGTTCAGTCATAAATTCATCCACAGCGGCCATTATTCCCTGAGGCCTTGGTTTGTGTTGGTGAAGCATTGGAATGAAATGAAACTAAGAATTACTAAACCCTAATCGACTAAAATAGGACTAAAGGCTAATTCTAGCTAGCCCTTATAACCAGTTAACACCTAACCCTGTTGTGGTTTTCCTTTCTAGATTATTAATGAGGAAAGCTTTATTTGACCACCTCACTGCCCGAGGAATTCAAGTAAGTTTCTGGGAGGATGCATTTTTGGAAACAGCGTAACCCACTGGCCTAACAAGAGTGTGAAGGGCAGGGCTTTTCAGTGACGCAGTTTGTGAAGGGGTCCAGCTGCTGCCACCCTAGGCTGACCAGAGACCACTCAGCCTCTTTCGTCCCACCCTGCTGAGATGTACAGTTCTGGGCTCCTGAGGCTGCACCCCACCTCCCATCTTCTCCTCACAGCAGCCCCGCTCACACACCCTGTGTTTGCTCAAGCCCTGTCTTTGTGGGGAGCCACAGCTCCTTTCCAGTGAACTCCCCCAAAAGCCCCGTCTGGACCTTGTCCTTTCCCAGCCCCCTTTATGCTCATGACCCCGTAAGACCTCCCAGCCTGTAGGAGAGTTACTGGCCTGGTATGAGTGCCAGAGATGTCCCCCTCCGGTTTGTTCTGAAATAACTCTGTCCGGCTCAACTCCTACCTTTTTTTCTTCTTCCTTTTTTCTAAGAGATTCAGCCCTGACTCTGATGCTGATGCCTTAGTGATTAACAAGTAAGGAATGTGACCTTGGCCTTATAGTTAGCAGTAGAGCATCGGCATCTCTGCAGCTTAATATCAAGCTCCAGTGCTCTTATGTAGAGAGAAGGGTGGCTGAGGTCAGAGAGGTGCGACCCTGCATATTTAATGAGCAAAATGGAGTTGTTAGAGGGGTTAATGATGTCTTTGATTTCTTAGAATGACAACAAGGGCTAGTTTCTAAGTACTCTTGAGATTATAGTGGATACATGTTATAAAAATAATTTTTTATTTTAACATTTCATACCTCTCATAATTCTGATTTTCAGGTGTACGTTTGGGTATTAAATGATGAACAAGAGTATAAAAGAGCTTTTGATCTGGGAGCAACTGGAGTCATGACCGACTATCCAACAAAGCTTAAGGATTTTTTACATAATTTTCCAGCATAGAAAAAGGTACTAGGGTATACTCAGAGAAGTCACGGAAAGACCTAAGAATATATAACCATCATTTCCCTAAGATAGTTCCAGAATGATAATGGTTTAATCAGTTAAGTTTTGATTACCTCATTTTTAAGCCTGTATGAGAATGTAGAAACTATATATTGTATATTTATTTTAAACAATACGGCATATTTCACACTTGTAAATTGTTTAGAAAGATAACTGGTTTGAAATGTGAGTAGATTATTGATGAAGGTATCTGTATATAATGCAGTATTCTACTATAATTACTTCCAAAATCAAAGACTGTTGGATTAATTTGCCATTAGTCTTGATTGGAATAAGACCAACTAATTTAGTAAAAGAAAGTTATTGAAGGCCATTGCAGCTGTTCTGCACTGTCTCATTATGTCTAGAAACATCTTAGTTAAAAAAAAGAAAGAAAATACAATGGAAGAAGAGCTTGAAAATCAATATTAGCCAGGAGTGGTGGCATACACTTTTGATCCCAGCACTTGGGAGGCTGAGGCAGGAGGATCACCTCGAGTTCCAGGCCAGCCTAGGATACTTAGTGAGTTCAAGGCCAGCCTGAACTACATAGTGAGGGGGGAAAAAAGAGAAAGAAAAAGAAAAGAGAAAAAGAAAGAAAATCAATGTAATTTTCTGGTAAGTTTTTCATGTTAGCAGAAAGCAGGCTTAAAGATATAACGGAAAGTTTGTTACTTGATCAAAAATAAAATCTGTAGACTGAATTACATTTCTCAGTTGTTGTTAATGGAGATAATTCTATTCGGACTCCTTTTCAAGTGTGTAACAGTATTACCTTGTCTATTTTTTATACCTTAAAAATAGACTTTCCAATTGTAAATTAAGACAATGTCCAAATAGTCATTTTTTTAATGATTCTTCTAAAGAAATGTAAGATTTTCGTTTTTTGGCCTTGACTTGACTATTTGAGCCTACTCCTAGATTTTAAATAACATCTTGAACTCCAATAATCTTACAACTGAGGGAAGTAAATATCATTGTTTGTAATGCTGCTAGTATGAACCATTGCTCCCAATCTTTAAGAATTCAGTCTTCTGGGACCAGGATGAAGCTCAGTGGCGCCGTGCCTGCCTGTCGAGCCCAAGATCCTGAATTCAGTCCCCGGTACTGGGAGAAAGAAAAAAGGAATTCGGTCTCCTGAGTACTAAGTAGAAACAAGTTTTCCCAAAACATTAGATATCACTTGCTCAGTTTTTCTGATGTGACTTCATGTAAATCTGTTTATAATTTTATTGACTAATTTTTATGATCTCAAATTGGGAGATGAATATAATCTGGAATAAGTGTCTTATCTATATTATGTCTCTCACTTGAAGTTTGCCAGCTGTACAGCTGTGAAGGGTGACTGTCCTCTCTCACCTGTTCCTGGATGACATATGTATTATTTGCTTTGTTGTTTAAACTGAAATAAAGTTTTCCAAGAACAAAACAAGGGTTATTGATTGTTTTATAGTTATAGTTCCAAGTATATTTTGTAAGCATTTTTTGCAGAATTTAATGAGGTGATCAATCGATGATATGAATAGATGTACCTTAGATTTCACTCTAAAGAAAAAAATACAGTTGGACATGGTGGCGCATGCCTGTAATCCCATCACTTGGGAGGCTGAGGCAGGAGGATTGCTCTGAGTTTGAGGCCAGCCTGAACTATACATAGCGAGACCCTGTTTAAAAAGGCACCTCATCAAAAAAAAAATGTATATATATGGAAATACTTTTACAGTAAGGAAGTTATTTCTTGGCAGCTTTTGAACAAAAGACTTTCGCGGGTAATCTGCTTGTCTTTTTTTTTGAGATAGAGTCTTGCTGTGTAGTTCAGGCTGGCCTTGAACTCACTGTGTAGCCCAAGCTGGCCTCAAATTCGTGGCAATCCTCCTGCCTCAGCCTCCTAAGTGCTGGGATTACAGGCATATGCCACCACACCCAGCTGTCATTTTCACTTACTATAGTTTATACTTTCAGTGTTACAGCTGCATCAATTTGATTGTCTTTGCTATCGTGTGTGTGTGTGTGTGTGACTGGGGATTGAACCACAGGCTTCATACATGCTAGACAATTGCTCTATCACTGAGCTACATCACCAGCAATGTAATTATTTTTAAATTTTGTTTTTTTTTATCATTCAGAGCAGGTCATATTATAAAATATGTTGGCACATATTTTGTGTCAACCAGTAAGAGCTAAAATCCAAAATGGTAATGTTTACAAAATCATATTTGGAAAGTTTGATGATTTTATAGTCCAGGTGACTTTTAAGTCTCTTGATAAAAGCATAATACCTATAGCAGTGGATTTAATATTAAAAGCTAACATGAATACTGCTCTTTTAATTTTTTTTATTTTGAGCCAGTGGTTTGCTAAATCACTAAGTTGCCCAGGCTCAGGCTTGCAATCCTCCTGCCTCAGCCTTCCAAAGTTCTGGGATTTAAAAGAAGTTCAGTGCCCTTTTGTTTTGAGATAGTAGGACTGGATATTTAGCTCAGTGGTGCTGCTGCCTGCCTTGCAAGCACAAGGTCCTGAGTTCGATTCCTGGTACCAAAATGAAATACTCATTTCGAGATAGTACTAGTAGACATATGAATAGCATGGTAAATAAGACTTGAAAAGTGGTCAGAAACTGTGATCAGACCCTGCTGATAGGAGACTAGCACTGGACTTGATAGACCTTGCTACAGGTCTGTCTGGCCAGTTATATTCCTGGTGCACAGCGATGGCCCTTAGCCAGGCGATTCAGCAGTCAGCTTGGAAGAGGACACAATGACACTGTCACTGTAGGACCAGGGACCCAAGCAGGTTACCGGGACAAAACAGGACCCAAGGTCCTGGAACAAGGGCCCAGGTCTTAGAAAGAAGCACATTTAACAGAACCAAAGAACAGAATGAGAACACTTGCCTTGAAAGGAAGAGATTGGCACTGAGTCCCATGCTGTCTCAAACCTCATCTATGGCCAGGACTTGCTGTAGCAGGCAGTGTGGAAGGGTCACTACAGGTGGGCATCTCACAGCCACACTGCAGAAAGGATGGCCGCAGTGGCTGGGAGAACATACATGGCTAGGGCTGAGCGTGCTCAGGGTAGAGTACTGGCCTAGCATGTGTGAAGCCCAGGGTTTGGTCCCCAACAATGCAAACAGCAACCAGAAACCAAAATACAAATCATAGTATGTTCAGTGGGAATGATTCTGCCTAGTTATGCAACACAGTGCCTCAGAGTTCATTAAAAGAAGTCGAAGGAGAATCTGTGTGGCCACAGTTACCTGCTTGAAGAGTTTGTTCTGAACTGAATTATCATGAATTATCACCAGGCAGGTGACCAAACTTGAAACATTAAAAATAAGAACCAAAACTTTTAAGCCGGGTGTGGTGGCGCATGCCTGTGAACCTAGCACTAAGGAGGCTGAGGCAGGAGGATCACTATGAGTTCAAGACCAGCCTAGGCTACATAGTGAGTTCCAGGTCAGTCTCAACTACATAGTGAGACCCTGTCTCAAAAAAAAAAAAAAAAAAAAGAACCAAAACTTTTAAGCATCGATACGACACGTAAGCCGAATGTGGTGGTGCACTCCTGTAATCCCAGCCCTCAGAAGGCTGAGCAGGAGGATCGCTGCGAGTTTGAGGCCAGCCTGGGCTACACAGTGAGTTGGAGGATGGCCTGAACTACCTAGGGAGATTCTGTGTCTCTAAACATAAATAAAGTAATAATAACATGACAATCATTTTAGTCCCAAGGAATATGTAAATAAAGTCTGAGACCAGGCACCAAAACAAGACCAGAATTAAAGCAGTGAGGTCTGAGAGTCTCAGAGATCGAATGTCACCGATGATGTTTTTCTACTTCATTTGCATGGCATTGACAAACTAATGTTGGAGAATTGGATTTTCCTATAATCTGAAACCGTTACAAGCCTAGAGTGGGGACAGTGCACAAACTGTTCAAAGGCTAGACAGACCCATATAGACCTAACTGCCATTCTATTGCATAAAAACTAACGTTGCAGGGGCTGGGGCAGGGGCTGTAGCTCAGTGGTAGAGCACACGCTTAGCACTGCAGGACTCTGGGTTCCAGTCCCAACAGGCCAATAGTATCCCTCATGCACAGCAAGGGACCTTGGGTCCTGGACCCTGGTCCTAGACAGACAGTGCCACTGCTTCCTGTTACAGCTCCCGCATTCGGATTGTTTGCTGTCTGTTGCAGCAGCAGCAATAATAATTTAGCAGTGCGCCATAGAGTGGAGACTTGTGGCAGTCTCGTCAGGAATAGGGTCCAGATGAACATAATGACAGTGTAACTAGGGAAGCAATTTGTGTCTGTCTATAGGGGAAGAATAAGAACTGTGACTGGAATCTGGAAGGCTGAGGCAGGAGGATCACAAGTTCAAGTTCCACCTTAGTGACTTAGCAATACCTTGTTTCAAAAGCTTTTTTTTTTTTTTTTTTTAAGGTGCTTGGAACATAGCTCAGTGTGAAGGCCCTCGGTTCAATCCCTAGTACAGCCAAAAGAAAAAAAAAAAAAAAAAAAGAAGAAAAGGGGCTGGGGATTATTTAGCTCAGTGGTTCCGCCTGCCTGCCTCACAAGCACAAGGTCGAGTTTGATCCCCGGTACACACACACAAAAAAGAAAAGTCACTCACCATTTCAAGGTTGCAAGGAAAGGGGCAGTGGGAGAAAGGAACTGGTTTGGAGGTAGTGTAAGACATGAATAGGCTAAAGTGACTCCATGCTAATAGGCCAGACTGTGCTTCTTCATATGCTAATTGCTACCTTGGTTAACAGCCCGCCCAGGGGAAAATGGTTTGACAAAAGGTGACCGTAGAACATTTCCTGCATAAGATAAGCAGTGTGTTTGCAATCTTGTTCTGTGAATTCCCTGACTCTTTGTTTAGAAAAACCTTATAAAGAGTACCTCAGCCCCTGAGCAGTTTCCTCTCTGAGGTACCTGGCTCCGGGAGTGCCGTCTGGCCAGACTATTACAGGTCTATTTACCATCCAGCCTGGTGTGTTCCCTCCTGGGTTTCTCGTTTCTCCGTCGAGCTCCCGGAGCCTCGCTGAGTGTTAGGGCCCAGCATCGTGGAGGCCTTTTTGGCTGCCCACGCTCCGTGGAGCGGAAGTGAGACTTTAAGTCTTACAGTAGGTTGAGTGTGGGTGCACCTGGGTTTGAAATGCCGGCGCGGGTGGCTGTGCCTTGGGCGCATTTGCCTGCGAAGGCAAGAATAGGTTTGGACGAACAGACTGAGTTTTGTGTGCTTCAGGGGTATGGTCGCCCCCTGCGTGCGGTGCCGGAACGGAACATGTGGTGGGTGGGGAAGGGTTTCTACAGGGAAGGCTTACCGGTGAGGACCTCGGTGGTCACCCTGGCGCACGCGCGAAGGACGACGGAAGAGCTGGGCTCAGGAAGGGAGCGGACACAGCCCTGGCCTCGCTCCCTTCTGCCGGCCGCCTCTTCCACCCCACGGCGCGGGAGCAGCGGCCGAGCTTCCGGCCCTCGGCGCTTCAGCCCC